TTACTGAAAAGAATCTATAGACACAATTGAACTTTCTAAAATTTAAGACTATAAACCCATCCCATGTAGTTTTCCTTTAAAATTGTGTAACTGAAATAGTAATTCAGGAACAGAGTTTCTAACAGAAAGATTATTTCCTAATTCTAGATTATAATCAGGAATTCAACCTCCTTTGCACAATAAGAGATAGGAGAGGGGTAAGTGGAATAAAAAGAAAAGGGAGTTTCAGACTCCTCCCCAAGCTATACTAGCCATCAGAACAGAGATAAGACTGTGTTTTTATTCAAATTGTCAGTGCTAAGTGCATTTCTTCATTCATATCCATGCATTTAGTCAACAATTATTGAGCAACTACTGCAAGCCTGGTTATATCAGCGATGCAATGTTGAAAAAGACCCTGAAAGAGTTTATAAATTACAACATAGGGGAAAACACATCAAATAGATACTTACAATATTAGGCAAATGTAACTTCTCTAGGAGAGCATACAGAACATGTGGGAGTCAGGATTTGGATGGGAAATTAAGGTCAGTTTCACGAGTTGAACTATGAAGAATTGTGGCATTTCCCCAAGCTCAGATGTGAGAAAATGTAAGGAACTGGTCAAAGATAAGCATGGAGGCAGGGAAGTAGGTAATTGTGAGCATTACAGTTGGATTGGAAAGGAGAGTAGTGAAAGGAATTAAGGTCAGCCAGGACCAGGGAATTGACAACCTTGAATGCCAAACTAAAGAGAATAAAATCCAAAGGCAATAAGGAGCCTCAAAGGCAAAATGTGAGCTTCCAAAACTTTATTCCATTTCCATCTATTAGAATAGTTATAAATAAAAAGAACAAATTGAAGAAGATGAAATATAGCTTGACATTTTTTAAAAAATAAAGTTCAAAACTAAACAACATTGTTTATGCATAGGTGTTTGTGTGTATGTGTGTGTGTAAATGAAAGCCCAGTAGTGACTAACAAAATTTAAAGCATTTATTATTTCTGGGAAAAGTAGGTAGTAGGATGAGATGGAGAGGAAAATAGGTAGATGTTATGTAAATTAATTATTTTAAATATTAAAGTTTGTAGGTGTTTGTTCACAGGTGGCTTTGTCCATGGGTGTTATTAAGCATGCAAAAGAGGCCCTGGATGTCCCAATGATGTCATTGAGCCATTAACCTAGGAATATGACTTATCCAAATCTATATATTTGAGATCCACTGAAGAACTAATGATCCTGTAATACTATAGAGGTTTCTCCCATTTGGCTTGCACTAGCAGTGAGTGTTTATTTTAATTCCACTTATCTCTAAAGAGCAGGAGAAAAAGTAACTTAAGAGCTATGAAGGTGAAAAATCTATTAAGCTCATTAACTTTGGACCAGCACCACTTTTAAGGAAGGGAGCTATCTCACATTTAATAATATCAGGATAGCTGAGATCAAATGTTTCCTCTGTGTGGACTACCCAGGACTATGAGTCCTAAATCTGAAATGCTCTGCTCTATTTGTAGAGTGGTGTTTCTCAGCCCTGGCTGCATATCAAATTCACCTGTGGAGCTTTAAGCTTTAAGTACAGATGTTCATGCCCCCACACAGACCTACTACATCAGAAGGAACTATCTAGGTATATAATATTTTCAAAAAGTTTAAAAAGTGGATCCTGAGGACAGCAGGGATTAGAAATCAGTCCTTGCAGAAATTCTAAGAGGGTAGCTTTTAACAAATATAAATTTCAGGATCCTATCCCCTGAGATTCTGATCTAGGAATCAAAGGAAAGGGTCTAGAAATCTGCCTTTATAATTAGCAACTTCCAGGTGATTCTGACTAAGAGACTTCCTTGCCCCCAAGTTAAAAAACACTCAGGCCTCAGAGTAATAACTCTGTATATTCATTTCATAGGGTTGCCATAAACAAAGTGCCACAAACGAGGTAACTTAAAACAACAGAAATGTGTTTTCTTAGTTCTGAAGGCTAGAAGTCTGAAATCAAGGCATTAGTAGTGCCGTGCTCTCTCCTCAATCTGTAAGGTAAAAGTCTTCCATTCTTCCTTGGCTCTTCCAGCTTCTGGCATTTTCTGGCAATCCTTGGCATGCCTTGGCTTGTACAAGTGTCACCTCAATCTCTGCCTTTGTCTTCTCTCTGTATGTCTCTGTCTTCTCTTATTATAAGGACACCAGTCATATTGGATTAGGGCCAAGCTAATGATATCATTTTAACTTTATTATATCTGCAAAGTCCCTATTTCCAAATGAGGTCACAGTCACAGGTTCTGTGTGTTAGGACTTCAACATATCTTTTTGGGGAAACAATTCAACCCATAACACTGGTTTAAATAGTTTTTCAAAGTATGACCCCCAAACATTAAATAAGACAGATTAGCTATGTTCTTTAGTTGGGCTGTTTAGATAGATGGTTAACTTGCAAAGCTTGGTGTGCAAAGAATCACCTGAAAAATTTGTGCTTAGAATGCATATTCCTGAGTCTTGATTCAAGATATTAGAATTCAGTAGACCTGGGAAAGGGCTTAAGGATCTATAATTTTTAATGATGTAGGGGATACATATATCACACTCTTGAGAAAAACTGGACTTGAGAGAAAAAGCAAGGTCAAGAACCAAGTACTTTGAGAAGGAGCTGCCAATGGCAGATCCTGAAATCTGTGTTTTTAACAAGCTACTCAAGTGAATCATTGCATTTGGGGCATGGCATTTCTAGGGAACTAAAGGATACCAACAGTGATTGTCTTTTCCATTTGTTAGTGAATCAGAAATCAAAGTAGACATACCTTTAAGTATTGCCAAAATGTCTTCTCGACCATTGCTCCAAAGACAGTAGAAAGAGGCCCAGTCTCTTTGCTCTTATTTCTTGTGAACCAGGTAGTTTCTGCATTGTTGGTAGGGACAGTAGAAAGGTAGAATGATACTCATGCAGCTTATAGAAAGTAGGCCAGTGAATATAAAATTTAAGCTGAAGTGCTCCCAGGCTGGAGAAAAAATTCAAGATCATAGGAAGAGTAATGTGATTGTTGGAGCTATTTCTTAACTCTCCTTGGGTATGTTAACAAGTGACACAACTAGGATACATTGTCAGCTTTCTGCTATTGCTGCACATATAAGTTTGACAGGAGATAGTGGTTTATATTGTTTATTTTAATCACCTATATTCAAAATTCATGTTTAGAATGACAAGCTAAATCATTTTGGAAGACTTCAATACTCATTAGTTGACGCTATTTATACACTGGAATGTTTTTGTCAATAAAGGTAAGGTTCTGTCTTTACCAATAACAAAAGAGGCAGTCATTTGCTCGTAAGAGACATACCCTCTCATTTCCTTCTGATCCACAAATACTGAGGGCAAAAAGTGTATTCTCACTCCCACAGACCTAAATAAGAGAGTAAAATGGGAAAACCTGCATTTCTTAAAATTCCATAATTTGTTAAAGTGACCCATGGCACTGGTACCTGGAGTTTGAAAATGAATCCTTAGATTTAGGTTTTCTTTAGTTCTTTGCTAGGCTTTCCTGATTAAACTGGAGAAATGGTTCTCAGTCCTGACTGTACTATAGAGTCACTTGGGGAGCTTTAAAAATAATACCAGTGCTTTGACCCCACCATAGACCAATAAAATCTGACTCTCCAGAGTGGTGTCCAGGCCCCTACTGTGCAGATTATGATTCAGAACATCTATGTTTGGAGTCCAGGGTCTATATTTTGATAAGTACCTCAGGTAAAAACTCTCATCAATTAGTTTGGAAAACACAGTTTTAATCTAGCTTAGTTATTAGCTGCTGTTCAGTAATATGAATTTTTAACCTTTTAATAGTTATTTACCACATAGAAAAAATATTTTAAATGATAAAAACTCAGAATATTATTTTAAAACTAATTTGCCCGTAGCAAACCATTTTTCAATATGTCGGTTAATTTTTACTTCAAAAAGAAAATGCCATCTGTTTTTCTTAGATACCTGAATCTTTTATTTTTGTTTTTTTTTGTTTTTTATTTTCAGGAAAATAATTCTGTTGAAGAGTCTTAAGAGTCAAATCTGAGCCTAAACCTACTGCTGTCAGCACCTCTGAGACTTCTTCCATCTAAGAATTACCAGGTCTGACAACACTTTTCCTCCAGCCTACAGTGAGGGATGTCAACAAAAAAATAGAAAACACATCCTCTAGACTTATAGCCCTCAAGCTGTGTTACCTGGGCTAGAACCTCATAAGCTCCATCTTTAGGTGAGATTCATAAAGACAAGAAGGGTGAAAATTCAGATATGCTAAGCCTGAAATATGCAAACGCCTTTAAAAAGTCTCTTCATAGAAGAACCTGATTAAATCTACATAATTAGTGCAAGCATTTAAATGAGTTATATGTAAAACAGAATCCGTTCTTCTTCTACCAAAACAGAGTAAAAGTTTGATTTAATACCCTGAGATATTCTTGTCTCCATACCAGTATTATAATTTCACAATTTTATTTTAATTAGTTAAAGAGTAGAACTGTGAAAAAAAAGATTTATATATATTTTATTTTATTGTTTATTTAATCCTCACCTGAGGACATTTTTCCATCGAATTTTAGATAGAGTGGAAGGGAGGGGGAAAGAAAGAGAGAGACATTGATGCAAGAGAAACACATCCATTAGTTAGTTGCCTCCCACACGACCCCAACCAGGGTGGAGATCAAACCCACTATCCTTCAATTCACTGGCCAATGCTCTAACCACTGAAACAAATGGGCCAGGGCTATATAATTTTTTAAATTATTAAGAAGTTCCAATAAAACCTATTTGAGAGGGGAGTGTGGTGCTGGAGGACAGAGAGGGTGCGGCAAGTGCCAAATTCAAATGTCACCATTTTCTTGCTTGTGCACTGCTAACTTGGCTCTGGTCATAATTGCTTTGTAGGAAACTATTAGAAAACCTCCAATATATTCAGAGCCAGTCTAAGTGACTGTGGAATGCCTCAAGGGCAATAAAAAACAAACAGAAACAAGTACCTACTCAAGTCTTTAGTGATGACGGAGGCACATTTCAAGTATCATGGAACTCTCGCTGGGTGGACCCATTTCCCCACCCCAGCAACTGAGGTTAACACCACTTTGGATAAGTATTCCAACCTGTACATATATGTGGGCTTATTCCTGAGCCTCCTGGCCATTCTCCTCCTCTTACTCTTCATAATGCTCCTTCGGTTCAAACATGTTATCTCACCCATCAACACTGAGAGCACAGAAAGTGTTCCTGAATTCACAGATATAGAGATGCAGAGTCGAATTCCCACTTATTAAAGCTAGGATGAAGATGAGTTTTAGTGGATCTCAGATGTCCAGAAAACTTACTGGGTTGCACATAGCTTCCCATGTAGGGAATCAACATTTATTCATTTAACAAAAAACTGTTCGTGTTTCCTTTGTGTTATTCATTATCTTGACTCTGCTTGTGGGATAACTAAGAGGTTTAATAATCATTCTTTGCCAGGAATATAAAAAATGGCAGCTGGTGGGAGGGCAAGTTTCCATAGTAACCAAAGACAGGGTCTTAGCAAACCTCAGACCACAGAAATTCATATGCAGCTGTTGTAAAAAACACAGGATTCCTGGAAGTTTTAAGAACAAGAAAAAACTGCTTTCGAAGGGGCTGATTGTTCAAAGAGGGTACCTCAAGAAAAGGACAAGTTTAAATTTTGCACTTGGTCCCTAAAGAATCGATTCTGCTAGCATGAAGCTAAATCATGTCAGAAGTTAATGGAAGGGACAACAAACCCTTTTCCAAAGGAGCAGTGATTTTATCAGCTAAGGCCATTGGGTTTGAGCCGAATAAAAGAAAATATGTAAAAAGCTGTTTCAGGCTGGCCAGTGTGGCTCAGTGGTTGAGTGTTGACCCATGCACCAAGAGGTTGCCAGTTTGATTCCTGGTTAGGGCACATGCCCAGGTTGTGGGCCTAATCCCCAGTGGGGGGCATGCAGGAGGCAGCCAATCGACGTTCTCTCTCATCGGTGTTTCTGTCTCTCCCTCTCCCTTCCTCTCTCTCTAAAATCAATAAAAACAATAATAATAATAATGAAGAAACTTTCAGTTTAAAGAGTACATTTTCAGAAAGAAACTTCCAGTCAACAAACTCATTTAGAGAGGGAAAATGTGCATTTTATGTCTGTGTTATTACTATTATTGTTTTTTTTAAAACTCAGATAATGGCAGCTGTATAACAAAAACTGATATGATGAGCTTCCCCAAAACCAAGGGAAATCTAAGTCAAAACGTGCTCATGACAATGAGCCTTACACTATGTGTGCAGCTTCATTGCCCCTTTCTCCCTCCCTATAACTGTCCAGGATTGAGTTGCACGCAAATATGAGCTTTTTTAAAAGGTGGCCTTAGCAAAGAAGACTCAAAATGTACTTTGAAGCAGAAATAAAATAGTATTGTATTCTGTTGTTAAATGATTGTGGCTTTTGACAAAACATTCAAGCCTCTGGGTGCTAGTTTTTTCTTTCTGAAAAATGATCAGAGAGCTATTTAGTCATCACTATACTCCTTTTAGATCTGAGTGTAAGGGAAACAAAGAGAGACAAAGGAGGAAAGGACTAAACAACACCCTTCGATAAATCTTTACTGAGATCAATGTCCTCAGATTTACATTTGTTTCCCAGAAAATGCTCTTCCCTTCCTGATCCCTGCCAAAACATGAAGTGATTCACTTATTACGTATAAGAGAAATATGTTTTGAAAAATTCCATTCTCATAAGTAGCCCTAGTATGCCACTTGTAGAAACAGACTACTTTTTAAAAATTAATGTTCCAAAAGGGAACCAAAGGAGATGAGTATTGTTTACAAATTAGAAATTAGAAGGCTAGTCATATTTTTGCCACCAAAGAACTAATATGCCTGTATTAAAATCTTCCTGATTAAAAAAAAATTAGTTCTCTCTTGCACCTAAAATGTTGTCATCACATTTCACAGGATGCTCCCTCAGGAACTGCATTAGGGGTAAGAGAAGTGGAATGAAGGTTAGGTTAATGTTACCTCCACCAGACATACAGCTCTCTCTAGTCTGTTACTAATTGGTGACAGAAGTCCCAAGTGCTTTCTACTTTTATACACAGTCATTTGCAAATACTCCCCTCTCCAAGAGGCAACAAGTGTAAAATCCCCACATGCAGAGCTAAACTTAGCAACAAGGTTGATTCTGTCACACCTGTTACAACAGCGCACTGTTAAGAGATGGCAGCTGCATTCTGCACCATTCAGAATAGATCAGCAGGTAGGCATACACTTCCCCTTTGGTATTATATAGGGTGTCTCCCCAAAATGTATACACACTTAATAGCTGATGGCTCAATTGGTGTTTCTTTCTTTTCAGATTTAACCTATTAGAATTTATCATTATTCAAAATGTGAATACATTTTTTGGGACACTATTACTTTCCCAAATGAAAAGTGACCCATGTTATTCTGTTTGGTGGCTTAAGTTGTATCTTTATTCAACATCCAGACTCCATATAACCTTTAAAATTTTAGTTCTTGGCAGCCATACATGGACTTCCTCAAAGGCTGGCAATATACCCCAGAACTTCTTAAGCACACACGTCTCCTCTCTTCTTTTTGCACTCACAGTACTTCAATGCACTTTACAGTAAAGGAGTCAATAGCTGGATAAATGAAGAAACTGATTATACTTCCAACAGCAGTAAATAACAAGAGGCCCAATGAACAGAAAGACTGGAAATGTATTCCTTTCTCACCTACTTCCCCAACCCACATTTTAGGAGTTTAAAACTATTCTTTAGGCCCTGGCCAGTTTGGCTCAGCAGTTGATTGTCAGCCTGTAGACCAGAAAGTCCCGGGTTCGGTTCCCACTAGGGCATGTACCACCAAAAAAAAAAAAAAAAAAAACCTATTCTTTAATCACTGCCTTGGATGAAAATTGCTTATTTATGATTAGGCTACTCACCTGGAAAACAACACCCTCTTTCATTATAACTACCCCCATGGGATCCAAATCTTCATTGAGCATTAACTTAAGCACATGGCACAGATTGCAGATTGCACTAAAATAGTAGTATAACTACTCACAGTTTCCAGGGATCACATAAATGGGGATGGATTTAAGCAGATGTGTCATTATGATGACTCACATGGTGTTTAAACTTTAGAAAAATAAACACAATGTTTTCATCATAATAATCTTACTATAAAGAAATATTTTTATTTATATTAAATTATATTATATCCCACAATGTATTAATTAACATATATTACTTCTCAAAGAGGCAGCTAGAACAATAGGCATAATTTAAATTTACCCATCTATCCAATTCCCTCTCTAACCCCCACAGTCCAAAAAATTTTTCACATTAGCATAAATGTATACAAACAGGTAGGTTATATATATATATATATATATATATATATATATATATATATATATCTGTATGTATATATATATACACTCTGTTTTAAGGTGAAAAAAAATGATTCTATACTTTTTATTATGCTGAACCATATATAATTGCCATTTCTGTAGGTCAAAAGTGCTTAAATATTGTCAATTTCATATAATTCAAACTAATATAAAGACACACTATATGAATTCTTTAAATAGTAAACTTTTTAAAAAAATTAAATGTCTAAATATATACTTTGAATATATTTTAGAATCATGGGTTGTATAAAACATATATTATAAAAGGTTCATATATTATATGTGATTTATTAGGCAAGAAATATGAAGGTTAATTAAGATGGGTTCATCCAGCCTAACCTTCCCAGTCATGTCAAATATGAAGATTTGGACTCATAACCAAGTTTGACTGCTACAGACCCTACCGTATTTGCTAATAGGTAAAAGGGGTCCATTTAATGCAATTAAATGGTTATATTTAGTAATACATTTATTCTCCTGCATTTGTACAAAGAGAACTTTTTTTTAACAATTAAATGGTTATATTTAGTAATACATTTAGTCTCCTGCATTTGTACAAAGAGAACTTTTTTTAACAAAATAAAGAATTGTGTGGAAGAAATTGGGTTTCTTTTGTTTGAAATCATTAATATTTTAAATAGATTCATATTGTATAAAAACAGAAATATATTTGAATTAATATCTAGAAGGTCATTTGTGATCCCTGGAAAGGAAATTCTCTTTGGTTTTCTGGTAAAAATATATCTATTTTCTGAAGAATGTAAAGAGCATTAGTCTCACTATTCCAATATAAATTGTAACTGCAAATTTGTGGGATTTATAATGTTGAGGTGTCATTATTTATTTTATTCTTCAACCTCCCACCTTTTACTTTCTCCCCACTTGAAAACTTATTGGTGTGTTAGTTAGTTTCTTAAGTAGTAAGATTTGAAAAATGGATAATGACTACCAGTAGTCAATAAAGGTGACCTGAGGTAAGAATGAAATAAGGCAACTAAAGTGCCAGTGTCTTTCAACATTACCCCCTCCACTGTAGTTTATTTTTTAATGTATTTTCTATTTTGAGCTTTCTTTATTTGATCCTCACAGCAACCATGTGAGAAAAGAGGACATGAGCATAGAGATATTAGTAAGGCATTCCTAGCTACACAAAGGCTGAGTCAAGTTGACACTGCAAAGCTTAGGATTCCTAGTTTAGTACTTACTCATCCCACCATGCTTTGCTTTTGAATAGATATTTCAAACCTATCCATTTTATAACACTCCAAATTCTGAAAACAACAGTTGAGCTCTACAGATGATTAACTCCCTATGCCCAAATTCAAAACAAGTAAGCAGAATTCAGCCATTGCTTTAATTTATAGACACAGCAACACATATTAATAGACTATAGGAAAGTTTACACAAAGGCAAACACTGCAGCTTTAATTTTTTTTCTTTATTGATTCTAGAGAGAGAGGAAAAAAGAGGGAGAGAGAGATAGAACATCGTTGAGAGAGAACATCAACCAGCGCCTCCTACATGTCCCACACTAGGGATTTGGCCCACAATCTGGGACGGTGCCCCGACCAGGAATTGAACCAGCAACCTCTTGGTGCCTGGGTTGATGCTCAACCACGAAGCCACACCAGCCAGGCCCTGTAGCTTTAATTTACATGAATGAAAGGAGGAGACAGAAATATGGATAGATTGCCCTGGCCGGTTTGGCTCAGCAATTAGAGCATAGGCCTGTGGTCCAGAGAGACCTGGGCTCGGTTCCCGCTAAGGGCACGTACTTCGGTTGCAGTTTGTCCCCAGCCCTGGTTGGGTCATGCCGGTGGCAACCACTTGATGTGTCCCTTTCACATCGATGTTTCTCTCTCTCT